GAATACCACTCTATGGGAAGGAAACAACAGACTACACGCTACGCTTGTCACATGGCTGTAGACTCTGTCTTAAAATATAAGGCACTCCTGGCTGATGGCATTGATACGGAAATAACACCTCGCCATGAACTTTATGAGATGAAGGGCACCAAAATGGAACAATCATGAAAGTGAAGAATGAGTAATTTTCCTTTCTCCGTTTCCTTGTTCCAACGAAACTGATCATGTAGCTTATCGTGATATGGAGATGTGCTACTCTCGGCGATATTCCAAGTATGTTCAGTTCTAATTTATTCATACCTCAGCGTTGATTGGCTAAGATATGGACAGGTGTTAAAAAGGTGCTTTTTCTAACCTCAGCATAAAATTAAATGCGTAACGCAAGAGACTCAATTCTTTGACAAATGAAGGAAAGTTACATCACAAGATTTCAATAGTAGTGACTTAGAATCAGATAGACAATTAATCAAAATCTTTGATATTCCTAAAAATATTAGACATAGTTCGACATATATTACCGTTTTCAGCTGCATGCCAAAGCCACAATGGTAATTTCTGAGGTTTTGTTCGATATACTGAAATAAGTTTTTCTTAACAAGGCGTTAGGATTGGTGTAAGCGAAAGCTAAAAAATATGACTTTGAAGCCACATACCCGAGTTTCAGGAAGGCAGCAGGAATGAGGAACGCCACACCGTCTCGGGTCGTGATTCTTTTCTGTACAGTTGAAATATGAGTTCATATTCCAATCATGAAATCCTTTATCGGAAAGACCACAGCACATGAACTAAAACATAAAACAGGGAATATAGACACCGCTGAAGGATTGTTATACATTGATTAATTAAAAAATTAAGAACCATTCAGTCGCCTAGGCATCGTTGACATCGTTGAAATTTATTCTTCGCAGCGTTGACACTGAACAGGGGATAATATTTACTTCACTATACCTTTGTAGTGAAATACAAAAGTTCACTAAACCCAAAAAATTTTGCTATTCTTTTCGAATTAGAATATGGATCATGTCATCCTGAAAGTTTCCAAATATTTTAGCAGTCGCAAAGCAACTACTTCATACTCTGTTGATGTTGCTTCCGCCAACAGGATGAGTTTAAAAAAATATTGACCTTCATGTGAAAGTCGTACTACGGAATAAATGTTCCGATCTTCAAATAAGAGATCTGTCCTGTTACATCAGTAACTCAATATTCAAGGCTGTCAATTTAAATAACCGGTAAATCACATATTTCCACTAAATATTTTGGCAGAAGTTACGAATGTAGTTTTCCGGTCTTCTCGGCTGGTTTTATGGCCAATGTATATGCCCTTCAGACAAATTTGCTTGCAATTAAACCACGTGAGAGATTTTTTTCATACTCGCTTGTCATTGCCTCATCAGGAGCTCATTTCTGATTTGGATGACGGTGTGCATATCCAACGCAGGAGCAGTAGCATTCAGCTGAACTTCTTCTTCTGCAGCGCCATATACAGTGTTTCAGAAGCAAATTGTTATGCTTTGATTATCGCTGCCTCATTCGAAAACCCTACTGATTACAGAAGGTGTATTGGGAAGAATGCAGAAGCACACTCAACCTGTTTTTCCTTTTATTTCTAAACTTCTTTCATTACTTCGTTGCTATGTCCCGTATAAATTTTTTGAAGAGCCGTTGCCGAGCTCTTTTCTGACCCAACCATAGTAACAACGTTGGGCAACTACAAACAACGTTGAGATTCCGAAGCTTTCTAAATGCATAAAAAACCCAACGTCATGACCCTGTGTTTTTCGGTGGCAGAGCGGCAGAGGGAGAACTGAAATGTCCTGGGTTCGAGCTCCGGTCAGATCACTCGCCCTTCTTCTTCCAAGGTAGACAAATGAGTACCACTCTGTGGGATGGAAATAAGAGGTGGCCACATAGCTGCTGTCGACTCTGCTTTTAAAATAATGTAGTTCTACCTGATGAAATGGCAATGAAGATGGTCAGGACCCAACAAGTTGCAATTTAATGAGTTAAAATATTCATAATGCATACCTTCTCTTGAATGAAATCCATGAAATCATTGAGATCTGTATCGTCAAAGTATCGCTTGACGACCTTAACGGACAATTTATTTTCGGCAGTGGTATGAAACTTTGGCCACAGCGCGAATCCGATGACACCGGTCAGCACAAAAATAGCGAATATCAGCATCAGAACTATCCAGAACTAAAACAGACCTGAAAATCGTTTAGTACGCAGTGGAAAGCAACGTGAAAATGTTTCTGTAACGCACATCAGTTCTGCCATTTTTACCTACTACCAGTCTTTCTCTGTCATGGGAAAACGCCATCATGATTAGTAGGGCAATGAGGGAGGGGAAGAGAGAAAAGATTTACTTAATACTTTAAGAATGTCATTTTTAATACGTGCCTATGCTTTTAAATTCTCGAAATTTTCAATAAAAATGGATCTGGACGTGACACAAGATTCTCTTGTCTCTTTAATTCCGATGCTTCGGCTTCCGGCACAAAAGTCATCATCGGGAATTATTTCACTGGCCATGATGTAACTGACAACTGGATAATAAAATACAGGAAAAATACAGAGTAATCAGTTGTATGAAAAACGATAACGAAAATACGAAACAGTTAAAGGAAGTCTAGAAGGATGAATGAACGAATAGTGGAGGTGGTTATCAGAGATAGTGGACTTAAAAATTGAGAAGCATAGCATAAAAGGTTTGAATAACTGGATGTTCCCACCATGGATTTATAAGCAAAACAAATATCAATAGGGCAGCTCCAGTACTTACACATCCTTTAAGTGTTCAACGAAACATGACTCTAATAAGTTAGCGAAGTAACATGGTTCATCTCCCTGGTTACTTAGCACCGACGGTCACTTATAATGATCGGTCGACAATGAAACGATTTTGTATTCCTCGTCTTGCTTATTTCGAGTGTCATTAAGATCGATTCGCTGCTGACAGATCACAGCCATATTTTACCAGTGAAGTTCAAACTAGGGGTCCTTTTGCTTTCCCCGATGAGACAAATAAGATCAATGCCATTCCAGCTCACAATGAGGATGACTACAGGTCACTACTACATTCCCTGTTTAGGAAGCTAAGAAACTTCGAGAGACAGAAACGAATCATGGTTCAAAGTTTAGTCAGAACGTTCAAAGCATCGACGGCATATATTTTAACATTACGGAGTAGAGACATCGGCGTAAGCCTTGATGTACAAATTGAGGCTTCTTCAGACTAAGAAGTCACAACTGCGAAGGTTTGGGTACGTGTTGCGAATGCCTCCAGAAACGAAGGCGAAGCAACTATTATTTGACCAAAAAATCGAAGGACAGGGTTTGGCCAAAATTAACCTGGTGCAAATATATGGAAGGAGTGTGTCCCAGACTCCAGTTGTCTTCTGCCGAAGCTCAGACTCTGACACAGGATCAGAAATGCTGGAAGTGCTTCCTGACTCATTTGCCTCCGCGATTTGAAAGGAAAAACTGTTATGGATGATGACTTTCTGTGCTGAC